GCTGAGATTCAGAAAAAGGAAATTAGAAGGGCAAGGCCTAGTTTTTTTCCGACGCTTGTTTGACAAATTTAAAGCTTCTTCATCGATTATCCGTTTCAAGAAAATAATCACCGCTTCGGCCACACACTTATTTCGGATTAATGGGCATAACTGAAGAGCACATCAAAATACAAAAAGAAAGAGAACTCTAACTCGCCTCCTCTTCGGTTCTGACCACAGTGGCCAGCGCTTCCAAGTGAGTCATTGCTTGCTCCGCTTGATTGCAAAACCGTACCAGCTTGTCCACCTCAAATATGTTTTACATAGTTTAACAGCGCTAAATATTTCGAAGTCAACGTCTAGATATGGATTCTGACATCCTTTTGATGCGACATGCGCTCTCACTGATCGTGAGTCCACAATCGTATCAGCTATTGTATAAGGTCGGTCCATAATTTTTGAGACACTTTACATTTGTTGTCGTGAAAAATCTTTTGAGGGCCACTGAAGTTTCGCCACATGTATGATGACGTGGCATGACTTTTGAGATTGCCGATCAGCTTGCCAATTCATTCACTGGCTGCTTGCCATGATACAATTTCGCGAGAAGCTCTCCGAGTTCTAATTTATCATGACCGCCTGGAATCGTCTGCAAGCGAAGCTACTCGAAAGATAAACCAGACGATGGGCGAGAACACTGTCTCTCTAGCCACTGTTTGTCGTTGGTACAATCGGTTCAAAGACGGCGTCGTTTCGCTTGAAGATGGTCCGCACTCTGGACGTCCCTTCACATTCGATGTCGACGCTGAGCTCGTAACAGTTCCGCAAGCGGTCCGATATCGCCATGTTCCTTTTGACTTCACATCGGACTTTCGACTGGCTTTCAAACCTAGTGACCGGCGATGAGAAGTGGGTACTGTACGTTAACCAATCCAATAGGCGGCAGTGGCTTGGCCCCAGGCAACCGGGAGTTCCGACAGTCAGAACTAAACCTCATCCAAGAAAGATTCTTTTGTGCTGTTGGTGGAATGCCAGAGGAGTTGTGCACTGGGAGCTACTACCTACGAATGCAACAGTCAACGCAGAAGTTTACAGTCAACAGCTCGATCGCGTCGCCAACAAGCTGAAAGGAAAACAAGACTTTGTTTACTTTCTTCATGACAATGCCCGACCCCATATTGCTACGGAAATTCAGGAAAAATTAAGGACTTTCGGATGGACCGTTCTCCCGCACCCACCTTATAGTCCTGATCTCGCCCCAACGGATTACCACTTATTCCGCTCTCTAGCTCACTCTTGAGAGGAAATCTTACGCTAACGAACATGATCTCGAATCTGACATCCAATCTTTCTTCGACCACAAGCCAGTGGAGTTCTACGAGAGAGGCATCAAACAGGACGTG